CCAACCCCGCCGCCAAAGACCCCTACCCCACCACCAAGGTACAATGCCCCTCCCACAACCCTATCAAATACACTTAGGCCTGTAAGCAACTCAAGGATCGCAGTAACATCAAACACCACAATGCCACTGTGTCAAATCAACTGGATTCAACCAGGATCTAGCACAACTCTGCCACCACTGAACTCCTTCTTCAACCCAACATCAAGCTCCAGCGCTCCCCAAGCACCAACCAAGAGGGCATCATCAGCATCTTCCTTCACGGCTCAACTACATGTAGGCCCCCTTCCAAGCACTCAAATGACCCACCACATCAGCTATCGGCAAGCACTGACACAGGAGCCCGCATCATCACGCTTCCGAGAGCAGGTGACTCCCCACTCCAGCAAGTAGCCGGCACCGAACCAGGGTCCCTCACCATCGTGCTTCAAAGACTACTCAAACACCCAGCCACCCCTAATTCCGAAGAGCTCAACAGCAACGGCAACAAGTTCTTGGGGCCAAATGACCAACTACCCAAGCACTCAGCCAGCACCTGTCCAGAGACCCTCAACTTTTTCCAACTTCACTGACCAACTAACCCACCACTCATGGAATGAGCCATCCCCAAGGTCATCAAATGCATCAGATTCCTGGGACCAACTGTCCGGTAGCTGCAGGTTTCCAGGGACCAGCTTCATGACTCTCCCAGTTCCGGCTACCCCTGCACTTCCACAAATACCAAGTGCAAAAAATATATTTTACAAGTGTTCCTGCACAGGAACTTGTCGCTTGTGTCGCGGTGACATGATGGAACGCATTGTTGAACTGGAGAAAAAAGCTCATCAGCTAACTATACTTAACGGCCAAGCAGAGAAATTGCCAGAAAGTTAGCGTCTCTTTTATTCTTGGACACGGAGAGAGTGATTGCAAATGTTCGCAAGGTAAGGGGAATGACAAAAATGGATGCAGTGCGTATTAATGCAATAAAGGCAGTCATCTATGAGCTTTGCCCGGGGTACGAGGATGAACGTGAGCGC